TCGGGGTCGTCGCAGAAACTGGAATGCGCGATGGGGCGAGCTGAGCTGGTGGATGTCTCGGTGGATCTCCTGCAGCGCGATAGCGATCTCGAGCGGGGCACTCTCAGCATGTGCCCCCGCTTCATAGCAGCCTTATCCCCGCCTGCTTGAAGAAGGGCACGTGTGCTCCAGGTGGCGATGCGGAACGTCGAAGAGAGACCGCCGGGTGGAGAAGGGAGGCGAAACAGCGTCTCAGCGCAAAAGAGACCGCTGGCAGAGGTTCGGGGGGCGCCGCCGAGAGACCGCTCCTGAGTCAAGTGCGGCCCGTTTAAGCCAGCGCGCTTGTGCAGGGCAGGCCCGTGCTGCAGCGCGCCGACGCGGAGGGGGGCAGCGATGGGCGACGGCCTACAGCTGCCCTCGCACGATCCTCACAATTAGAACCGCCACGCTGCCACGGCGCAGAGCACGCTGCAACGGCTCGGCGATCTTTATCGACGAGGGCCGCGCTCTGCCAGCTCCTCATCCCTAAGCCACTCTTGGCATGGGGTCGGGTTGCCGGCGCAGGGCATGAGCAAGGAGCGCCGCGCTGGCGCTTCAAACCTAGACAGTGGGCCCCGCAACGCCTGCGCGGCAGATGCCCCCCCTCCGCCTGGACAGTGTGCCCCGCGAAATCAATGGGCGCAGGCGCAGGCTGCGGGGCTCCGACAAGCGCATCGAGCGTTGCAACAGTCTGGGCGGTTCTGATAGCAGCGCTCCGCGCGCTCCTCGGGGCGCCGTTGAGCCTCGCTGCTCGCGTCGCAGGAAGCTGAAAGCGAAGCCCCGTGGGCTCGCGTCTCGCTCCTGGGTTTTCAAGTCTCGCGCTGGGCATCGCCGCGCGCGCGGAGACATGGCGCCGGGAGCATCTGGCCGAACCCTCGGGCCCTTCTTCCAAGTCGCGGGAAAGCAGAGCGAGTTTCGGCTCCAGGGCCCGCGGCCGCGCGGGCGGCCTGTCCATCGCCGCGGAAGACGAGGCCGCCATCTGGGCTGCCCGAGCCGAAAACATCAGAGGACCGATGCACGTCCTTAAGTTTGCCACGGAGCGCCTTGACTTCGAATTCGGCGTGCTGGAACTCTCCAGCGCCGACCTTCGCGAAGAAGTCAGCCCGCGCCTTCCCAGGGAAATCGAAGACCGTGGAAACCTCAGCACCTTCGGGGAGCGCGGGGGCCTGCAGCAACTCGTCTACATCACCGTGGGCCGGTGTCCACTGGAACCTGTGTCGCTCGGGCCGACCCTCGTGCGTGCGGAGCGCCTGCCTCCGAACGTTGGCGTGCTTGCTGGCCCCGCGACCCAAGTCGGGATTCCAGCTGGCACCTTCCTTCGCAGCCGAATGTCGGTCGGAAGCGATCGCTGGCCCCCAGGGGCCCGCCCTCGAAGCTTCTAGACTAGCCTGGCGCTCGGCCCGCGGCACCGTCTGGCGCCTTCCTCCCGAGGCGCCCCACGCGGGCGCGGATGGGAACGCCGGCGCCTGGAAGCTCGACGACTGCCCGGCCGCGCCCAGTGAGTTCGGGGATCCCGTCGGCCTGCCCGCTGCCGTCTGCGCGCAGCCTGGGGCCCCGGGGCAGCTGGGTCGCTCCCCGGGCTCGAATCGGTAGCTGGAGAGGAGGAGGCTAAACGATCAAAGGAAAGAGGGGGGTCCCGTGGGCCAGCTCAAGCGCGTCGAAGTCGGGGGGAATGCCCCTCGCCGGCTCCTGCGCTCTGGCGTTGCTCCAGCGCTGACTCAGGCAAGGGGTGTGCAGCATCGGTATCCTGACCCTCCTGCTGCCGCACCTCCTCGCACTCATAAAAATGATGACCGAACGTGCCTTTGGCCTCTGCACAGAACTGGCATTTGGGACCCTTAGCGTGCCCTAAGGCAAACAGACGCACAGGCGGCTCCAGTCCTCCTCCGAGCAACTACGAAGCGCCCCCCCGCGCACAATATCTCGCGCCAAGTTAACCCCCAGCCGAAGAACTCTCCCCCGCGCAGTCAACGATCCGTGCGCCTCAGGGGTGGACGAGAGAAGCTGCGTCATCCAGGCCATATTGATGCCCTCGCGCAGCCGCTGCCTAACATCGCACGGGGAGGTTACACAAAACTTGAATGCTTCACCTTGATCAATGCGAATCAAGTGTGGCCATGCCAACTGCCACCCGATTCTGCTCAAACTCAGGTACACTGCTGCCACAGGACCTCGCACCAACCGCCAAAAAGGCTTTTTGGAAAACGTGTCGTGGGCCCGCTCCCAAGCTTCCTGAAATCCGAATCTAGCACCCTGCGATCCCAGACCCACGTAGAATACCTGAGGACCAACGGAACTGTCGCGTCAACAACGGGATCGTAGCTGGGATTGCAGTGGGTGGCTAGATAAGCTGTCACGTGCATTCTGCCTCTGGCCCCCATCAGCTCTGCTGCCAGAGCTGGCAACGACCTTAAAGTAGAATCTTGGAGTCCAGAAGCCGCCGCCCCATGGGCTCCGCGGAGGAAGAAGAGGAGGAAGAGGAGGAAGAGGAGGAGGAGGCGGAGGAGGAGGAGGGTGTTTTGTCGGGTCGTGCTGTCGCCCTTGCCCTCGGTCGGTCGTCGCGTTCGCGTCCGTTCGGGTTCCGCTGCTTCTTCGCCTTGTGGCTCCTCTCCTGGCTTTTTCCCTTCCCCTTTCCCCCTTTCTCTGCTTCCTGGCTCCTCTTCCCCTGCCCCTGCTCCGGTTCGGCTTCGCCCCGCGCCTGGCTTTGCCCCTCTCCCTCCCTCCCCGGGTTCGTCCCCCCTTTGCCCTGGGGCCGGGCGTCCCCGCGGCCTGTCTTGGCGCCACTCCTCTGGGCTTCCGCCCCTCTGGACGCCCCTTCTGCGCACTCTAGGCGTGGCCCTTTGCTCCTTGTCCGCCCCGGCGGCCCTGCCTGGACCGGTCTGCGCATGCGGCGCGACCCGTGGAGGCAGAAAGATGAGGAAGAGGAGGAGGAGGAGGAGAAGGAGGAGGAGGAGGAGGAGGAGGAGGAGGATGATGATGCTGATGATGATGCTGATGCTGCTGCTGCTGCTGATGATGGTGATGATGATGATGATGATGATGATGATGATGATGATGATGATGATGATGATGATGATGATGATGAGTGGGAGGAGGAGGAGGAGTATGAAAATGAATATGGGTATGATTAGGGGTAGGAGGAACAGGAGGAGGAATAAGAGGAGGATCCGTAGCCATTTTTGGCTCAAGAGCTGGCCCAGCGGGCTGGCTCAGGCATGGGCCTGTGTTGGTCTCCCGCCTCCAAGGGCGCAGGACCTTATCCTTGAAGTCCATGGAGCCATCTTGCGTCGCCTGTCCAATGCTCTTGCGCCGCACCTCCAGGGGCTGCAGCAAGGCGCGCGGCTTGCGCGGCTGGCTGGGTTGGTATCGAATTGGCTCGCCAGAGCATCTCCAACCTCGACATTGCATTCGATTTCCTTCGGCACATCACTGCCCCTGGACAAACAGTCCTTGGCCGAGCTGGAAGAACAACTTGTCGCAACTGCAATCGAAAAACGGGTAGGGCACATCGAAGGCGCTAAGACAAATTACATTACTCTTGACCTAGAAGCCCGGGAATTCACTCCCCAATGCGTGCTTTCACAGTTTCTCCCAGCTACCGCATGACGTCGCGCGGCATCTCAGGCTGAACTGCAGGCGCGGCGGTGGCGGAGGCAACAGGCGCACCCCCCTCCAGACCCCACGCAAAGCTGCTACGGCCACGAAGCGGAGCCTGGTGCGCAGAAGAGCTACGATGAAGAGGCCGCGGGGACGGCCAAGACGCACCACGCGGAGCACGACGACCAGGACAGCGAGCGCAGCGCTGGCGGCGGCAGCAATTAGAGCCCCAATTGGCTCCACGCGAAGCTGGGCAAGCAGCTGAGCCCCTTCGACGACCAGGCTGCAGGACGGCGGAGGCGCACCACGCGGAGCACGACGGTCAGGACTGCGAGCATGGTGCTGGCGGGGGCAGCAGGTGCAATCCCACCGGACTGCACGCGACGCCGGGCAACCAGCAGCGCTACACTAGGGGGAAAGCAAACCTACCTCGCTTTTGACCACCCTCGCTTCCAAGAGATACCAGGCGATGCCAAACTACGGCCTGTACTGGTCAGGTCGCTTGACGAGGAGGCGCGTGGTATGACTTGCTTTTTCCTGGAAGCGAAACCGGGGTAGGTAATTCAAGCTCTGATGCACGCGAAGCACGGGGTGGCTGAGCGCTACGACGACCACGCCGCAGGGACGGCCGAGGCGCAGCGCGCGGAGCACGCCGGCGAGGACCGCAAGCACGGCACCGGCGGGAGCAGCAGCAGGTGCAACCCCACCGCGCCCCGCGCGGGAGCTGCACGAGCAGCGGCAGGGCTGCGGCGGCCACGACGCGGAGCCCTTGGCGGAGGCCCCCGGCGCTGGCGCGGCTGGCGCGGCGGCATGGCCCGCCAGCGCGTGCGCAGAAGGGCGGCCGAGAGGGCGGCGCAGCCCGCCAGGGACGCCAGCGACGAGGACCACGACGAGGGCGCCGGCGCCCTCGGCGTTCCCGGCCTCGACGATGTCCAAAGCTCTTCTGGAGACGAGCTCGCCCTCTTCGGTACCGGGAGGCGCTGCGTCGCTCCAGGGGTGCCGGCGGTCCCAGGCAGTCTTCGCGACGCCATCTGCTGCACCGTGAGTCTTCTCCGTGGCTGAGCGGCCGAGGCAATCGCGTCCTCGTGAGGCCGACGCTAGCCGCGCCGCCCCCTCCCGCTTCTCCCCTCCTTAAACGCATTCCTCCCACTCACCTCCCGCATGCACCTCGGGCACGAGGCCGCCCAGCGCTCTGCGCCGTTGAAGACGAAGGAGCGAGGTGGAGCGTGCTTGAGGCGTTTGGGTTGTTTGGGAGAAGAGCTCGCACATATCTGGGAGGTGTAGCCCCGCAGCGCACCCTGGCGGCTCACCGTCCCGTTTTCGGGGGCTGCCGGGATGTTGCTGAAGCCTCCTCTCCTTCCAGAGCGATGGCGTCCCCAATCGCCTCATGTTCGAGGGCCGCATCCCCATAGAGGGAACCAAGAGTCCGCATCCTGAGTCCTGAGGAGGAGGAGGCGGAGGCGGAGGCGGAGGCGGAGGAGGAGGAGGAGGAGGAGGAGGAGGAGGAGTAGGCATAGGAGGATCAGAAAGAGGAGGATGATCAGTAGGAGGAAAAGAGGATGGATGAGTCCTCGAGCACGCCGTACACCCTGTGGCACAGGACACCGTACAGGCGCTCCGAGCGGAGGCCGCTTTTGCGAAAGGCGTCGAAGAGGCTGACCAGAACCTGCGGGCTGAGGTGCTCGGTAGACTCGGCTACCGCCTTGAGACGGACAGCAAAGGCATAAGGCAGAAACATACACTTTCGGAGGTCCGCGCGGACTTCTTGGGTCGGCGCCAGACTCCTGCTGGCGCTGGAGGCGTCGCCAGGCGTGCGGCGAGGGGGCGTTCAGCGTTGGCCTAGGAGATCTGCGCGGACCTCCTGAGGGTTCGCTTATGCAGCTGTTGGGTCTTCTGGCCTTGGCTGCCGACCGCCAGAACTGCCTGTCCGGCACGCGCCGCTTCGCGAAGGCGGTGATGAAGAACGACACCCTCTGCGCGGACAGGGCGCCAAGCTGCGCAGACACCGTGCTTACCAGCGCGTCGGAGAGTTCCTCCGCCTCGGAGTGTCCGAGCTCCCGCGCCGCAATGACCGCGGTTGCAATGTCCTGTGCAGAAGGCACCTGCACACCGTCGCCATGCCTGGCCGGGGCCACCCTGGGCCTTGGCACGGCGTGCACGCCCTCCTGGCCGAGGTCAGGAGGGCCTGCACACCGTCCCTGGGCCCAGGGTGGCCCTGCCAGGCATGGCGCCGGTGACCTGGTGGCCCCTGCAGGAGAGTCCTTGGCAGTCAGGTCTTTGATGTTCTCGTACAGGTTCACAGATGCTCGGGCGTGCTGCAGGTAACGGCCCAGCCTGGCGTCCTTGCGCACCTCGTGCGAGGGCTCCTCCAGCAGGCTCGTGAGTATGGGGGCCATCCGGTGCGGGTTGAAGTAGTGGGCGTTGTACTCCACGAGGTCCCAGAGCGGCGTCGCGCCGCTGGCCAGCCCGAGCTGCTCGGCGCGCAACGCCGCGATCTGGGGCATGTCGGACGTTATGGTGGCCATTCGCGCGCAGTGCAATGCCGTCGCGGCCTGGGTGCACCGCCCGATCGTAGCATTGACCCAAGCTCTGGTCGGACGGCCCGAGCGCCCAGCAGAAGGCCGAGAGAATGTCACGCCGCGTGCGAAAATGTAGCGCCGCAGAGAAATCTTGCGCCCCCGTGCCGCCCCATGACCTCCCGCGCCGCCTTGCAGAGCAGGCCACAAGCGCGAATGGACCCGCACATGCGAGGGAAGGGCGGGGGCGCTCTCGGCGAGCCCTTCGCCCTTGAGCCCCTCCCCTCCCCTCACACCGACGTGTCGTGTGGGCCACCTTGGCGATCGCAGCCCTAGTACGAGGGCAGGCTTCCCGGGAGGGGGGGGGGGCGGCTGCGCTATCTGGTGCCTCGGACACGTCGCCGACAGATCCCAGGCAGCAGAACGGCTGGCTCGTGGACGGCGCGAGACGTCCGCGCGGCAATGGACAGCACGTGGGCCAATTTGGTCTGGGCTGGCCGATCCCGCTGAAACCGCCCCTTGGCGGGCATCCCCCTCCCGTGCGACCCGATGGTCGCGGCCAGCGCGACCCCAGAGCTTCGATGCCTTGATTTCTCCCATGCGGCGTCCCCAGAGCTCTGGACCGCCCTCTGGGGACTGGCCCGTCGTCCCGGATCAATATACTTCCGCCGTGCTGGGGCCCGGCGAGGGCCCGCAGACGCCGCCACAAGGACGAGCAAAAACCTCCGCCTGGAGGCCCCGTTCGACCCGATCGGCCCGACCTTAAAACAGGGCTAGGATCGGGATAAATCGCTCCAGAGCGTTCCGGAGCGCTCTCAGAGCGTTCCGGAACGCTCTGGAGCGGCCGCGGCGCCCAATACATCCTCCAAACCCGCCGATTCTCAGAGATTTCGAGTTATCCCGATCCGATTCTGTCCCGATCTTCGCGTCGTTTCAGACCTGGTCGCGGCTGGCGAGCCGGGAAGGATCGGCGGTCCGGCCGCGGCCCGCGAGCGCGCTCGGGCCCCGGACGTGCAGCGGCGCGGCCGCCGCCCCGCCGCTGCCGCGGCGGCCCGCGCGCCGCAGGCCCGCGCCCAGCTGCCCGAGGGGGCGCGGCATGGCGCGGGCGTGGTCGGAGGGCCCCAGCTGCACACCTGCTCCAGGTTTCGTAAGAAAAGGGAGGGGGTCTGGACCCTCCAAGACAAGCCATTTCAGACCGCCCCCCCCCCGTGGGAGAACCCTCCAGAACATCGTCCCCAGACACCCCCCCCAGGCCCTCCAAGATAGCCTGGAAGAGACCCCCCCCCCGAAATGGGACCCCCCTCCCTTTATTACGAAATCTGGGGTACCCAGGCCCCCGAGAGTCGCGACGACGACGACGAGGATCCTAGTTCTCCTCGAGTCGGGGAGACACACGGCCGACGTTCTTTCGCTTTTGTCGGCCTCTGGGGGCCCTTGCCGGGCCCCGGGGCTGTCCACAGAAAGACTCTAGACGGGAAAACCGGTCACCAGGAAGGGGTCCAGACATCTGGGGGTCCACGCCGTGAGCGAAATCATGACGACGGGGGTCTTCAGACCTGCACCAATCTTGGGCACGCTCATCCTGGGCCCAGGATCGGTGTAGCTACGCCCTCTTGGACCTTTTGCAGGGGGGCGTCCTGCACCGACCCTGGGTCCTGGCATGGCCAACATTGGTGTAGGTAGGTGTGCGGTCGGGGACTTTTGCTCCATGTGTCGCGGCGGCGGCCCCGGCGACACGCTGTGCCGTGCGAGCTGATGGCGTGTTGCGCCGCTCCGCCTGGGCACGGCTCGGGACGGTGACGCCTGGGGACCGGGACGCGGTTCGCGCGTCGCGCCGAAGCGCGGTGGATCAGAGCCCGCGGCGCGACACCCTCAGCAAACGTTCCTGACCGTGTGGCCGGTGCCCTCCGAGGTGGGCCGCGGCGCTCCGCGGACGCGCGGCGCGCGGGCGTGCCAGGGCGCTGCGCGTGGTGGCGTGCGCTGTGGCGGCCCGCCGCCCGAGCCGACAGAGCCCTCGGCGACCCCTAGGGGGCTCGGCGCGCGACGACGGCGTCGGCGACGGCGACGGCGGCGACGACGACGACCACGTATCCCCTCGCGTCGTGAAAGCATCACGACGGATTATCTTCCACCACTCTTGGCCTCCGGTGGCCCTTGCCGGGCCTCGGGGCCGTCAAGAAAACGATCCAGGATGAAAAGCTAGCCCATGAACAGAACCACGACGTCGGAGGTCTCTGGAGGTCCCTGGATGCCTCCAGACGTCCCCAGAGTCCTTCAGGGATTCACAAACTGCAGCGACGTCCAAGAGTATGGATCCTCGATCCTCCGCGCTTCTTCCTTATGTGAAACTCCTCTTCGTCATGTTGGCAGGGCGGTTCGAGCGTTTCGGCTGAAACTTCTGCGCAACTTATGAATATGTTAAAAATGCACAGTTTCAACACTTTTACATCTGGACAGCGGCCAATTTTCAAAATGTGTTATCGCTGGGACGCCGCGCACACTCGTCTTGAACATGTCCAACAGTTGCGTGGATGGAGGGCGCCCTTTCTCGAAGTGTAACTCTCGCTCGAAACATCCTTACACTCCGCGCCAGAAAAATCAAACCAATCATACGGAACAGCTTGTATGATTGGGGCTCTCGCTTGATTCGTCTGAACTTGGGCAGTAGCTGCAGGGATGGAGGGCGTCTCATGTGCGAAAAGGGGTACCGCGCGACATGTTCTCAAACTTCAATGATCCTACCCTTTAGCGTTTCTTACAGCACGAGTGATAGGGATCGGCAAGCACGTAGCGTTCTCATCTGTCAAAAAGTCGCTCCCCCCCTCGAAAAGGAATGCCTGTAGGGACGTATGAGGGAAAGATTCGGGATTGGAGGTGTTGCTGCATCGTTGATGCTCCCTGTGTCTGTCCTCCTCCTCCTGCTCCTCCCTTCTACTCCTGCTCCTCCGGCTCCTCCTGCTCCTCCCGCTCCTCCTGCTACTCCTGCTCGTCTGCCTGCTTCTCCTCCTGCTCCTCCCCCTCGTCCCCGCGCTCTTTTCGAGCCAATGGAAACTAATTCAAATCCTTTCTCGCGCTCTCCCCCGTGAAATCCGATTCCCTCGGTGGCCGCAATCGAAGCGATGGCTTTTTGGGCTTCTAATGGCATGGTCTCGGCAACTGCTCTTTTCCTTGGAGTTATGCATGGCTTGCTGGGCTACGAACTGTGACTGGCGCTCAGGGTTAGTTTCGCCACCTTTGTTGATGCCAAGTCAGCTTGTTCGATGAGTGCTTTCCCTGTGACATTCCAGCATGCCTCCTCCTTAACCTTCTCATGAACCTCATGCTTTTGAAATTGCCCCGTCCAGTCCTCGCGCGCTGTCGACGTATATGCTGGATCGCGGCCACTCCCAGAAACATCATCCCAAGCGGGAGCCGTATCATCTTGTCCGCGATGGGCCGCGCATCCGCCGTCCCCCGTAAAAAGTTCGTCTTCTCAATGCCTCCGCATGTCTCGCGCACCCCAGGGGCCTTCAAGCGTCTTCTGTGTGCGCGCACTGCAGTCCCTGGAATTGGGTTCGGTGTCGTACATAGCTCGGTAAGTTAAGGTTTCCGAGATGTTCCGAAGTCACCCCTTTAATTCGCTCCCCCTTTCTCGCCCTGCGATCTCGTTAACCCCCTGGTCCTCAATGATCCGGATGGTGTCCAAGTCCAAAACAACCCCGCGGGCGCGCGACCTCCAGTCGCGGTAAAAAATCAACCGGGTGGCGCCGTAATTCCTACTTCTGATAAACTCATGATGCGTGTGTGTGGTGTTGTTGGTGGTGGCTGTGGGGGTATATGGTATCTTCCCCCCTGTCATCCTACTCCAATCAACCTCGTCGACCTCGAACTCTTCACTGAGGTTGATCATGTCCTGGTCGCAGGTCGAATGAGCTGCCTACGCGATCATCTGTTGACGTCTGGTCATGCAGACCTGTAAGCTTCGCCCTGTGCAACTTGCCCAGTTATGCCTCCGACCTCCTCGTTCGCCCACTCCTGCTGACTATGCGTCGGCGTCGTGGCCCTGGCGTCCTGCCCTGGGGGCTTCGCCGACGTGGGGCTGTTGGTCGTGATCCTGTTGGGCTTCTGGATGAACGTCTCCTTCCCTTGATGGAGGGGCCCCAGGACACAGAAATAAATACACACACATAAAAAGATTCCCCATATTTTCTGGGTTTTTGTCTTCCCCCCCACTTCCCATATTTTCCCAGATTTTCCTGGGGATCGACGATTAATTGTGTCTGTGTGTTTTTTCCCCTCCTGAGAATCGCCTGTCCTCGAACCGTAGCTGCGCGCCCCCGCGCTCCAGCGCCCTCTGCGTGGGCGCCGCGCCCCAGCGTGGCGCCCCGCCGGGTGTTCAAAAGCAAAAGTAATCCACTGGCCCTCCGCGTCCTAAATCCAATGCAAAAGTGCGGTGGCCAACGGCGCACAGGAGCATCTCCTCCGTCTTCTCGGGCCCCGAGCTTCTTGGCGTCGGCAGCTTGTAGAAGGCTCGATGCCGCGCGCGTTGGGCCTGCTGCAGGTAGCGAGGTGGCCCTGCTCTCCGCCGGCTTCCGCGCTTTTGCTCGCGTCGCTTCGCAGTCGATGTGCCGAGGGTTCCCGTGCCCATCGCGCGTTGTCAAGTCTATTGCCGAACCTGGCATCGATCTTATGTTCCCTGCCGTGCCGGCAACTCGAAGGGGGTGGGTCTGTTGCGCCTCTGCGTCTCTTAGTCATTCTCGTCCATCTCGTTGGGTTGCCCCTTTAGCTCCTGGGGCCCCGTCCGTCTCCGCGTCGTCGTTCTCGACCTCGAACTCGGCCCGCGCAGACCAGTCGCTGGCCCCGAGGTGATAGTTAACGTCGTCGTTGGGCCTTTTGCTTTCGTCTTCGGCGCAGTCGTCAGCGCGCCCATGCGTGACTCCACTGGCAATGGCGGTCGCATGTGTGGTTCTCCCCGTTGCGTCTATCGCGGTCAGCTGGGCCCGGGCTTCCGCCGGCCGCGGTGGCTGGATGGAGCGGGCGGTTGCGAGGAGCGCGGTGCTGTCGGATCGTGACCTTTCCTTTGGTAACTCATTCGTTCTGCAAGTCCAGTGTGATTTCCGCTGGCCGTGGGCGATTTGAGGCGGCCCTGTTCTCCATGCTCCTCCTCCTCCTCCTCCTCGAACCTCCTCCTCCTCCTCCTCCTCCTCCTCCTCCTCGCCTTCCCCTTGTTCTTCTTGCTGTTCTTGGCTTCTTCATCTCCCTCGACGGGCCGGGTCTCCTGCCTCGTCTGGGCTCCCGCTCAAGCCTCGCCTGGATGTCGAGGCTCGAACTATTCGATGACTCTGGCTCGGCATTCCTGTTTACACCCTGCGAAATGCTTAAGAACTCATGGGTTAAGAAATTCAGAGTCTCAGAATTTGAACAAAAACCCAGAATTTCCATTTAAATCTTAGGATTTGCATTGAAACATTAAGAATTCGCCGGCCCAACGGGCCAGGGCGTGCTAAGATCTCCGGTAACTGGTTAACAGTATTAACAGTATTTCTAGTTCGCGCGCGCGGGGCGGCCCCTGGGGGTCCCCCGGCGAAAAGTACCCCGACCAACGCCCGACCGCCGCCCGACCGCCGCCCGACCGCCGCCCGACCACCGCCCGACCAAGTCTACTCAGAGATGGTTTTCCTTCTGGGTGCGGCCTCTCAGGCTCCCCAGAGCGCGCTCAGAGTGCCCCAAGAGGCCCCCAAGACTGCCCAAGAGGCCCCCGAGACGCCCAAAGAGCGCTCGAAGACGCCGAAGATGACCCCAAGACGGCCCAAAAGGCCCCCAAGACAGCCCAAGAGGCCTCCAAGACGCCCCAAGAGCCTTCCAAGAGGCCTCCGAAGAGAGCCCCAAGAGGCCAAAATCGTTGATTTTCATTTGTTTTTTCGATGTTTTTTGTGTTCTGGCTTTTTCGGCTTCCGGACGCTCCAAGACGGCCCAAGAGGCCCCCAAGACCGCTCCAAGACGGCCCACGAGGCTCCCAAGACGGCCCCGGAACGGCCCAGGAGGGCCCCCAAGACGGCCCAAGTGCCGCCCAAGACGGACCAAGAGGCCCCAAGACGGGCCCAAGAGGGGCTCAAGAGGGGAACCGAGAACTGAAAAATCGAGCCCTCCGCCCCAGAAGGCGCCCAGGAGGCCCCAAAAAGGCCCCAAGAGGCCCCCAAGAGGCCCCCAAGACGCCCCAAGAGGCGCCCAAGAGGCCCAAAAGAGGCCCCAAGAGGCCCCAAAACGGCCCCCAAAACTCGGCTAGCCCACAACGGTGCGACAATATGGGCCGGCGGAATGAGCGAAGCGATTAAATAATCGAGACTCTGGCCGCAAACTTAAGTTTTCTTAAGCATCGCCTAGGGTGTATGCTGCTTGTGGTCGCGATCTCCTCCGCCGGCGGCGTTGCCCCCGTGGCGACCTGGCATGGCTGACGTGGCTAAGTATTCGAGCTCCTTGGCAGCAAGGCCTCGCGCGATGTCCCGTTTTGCCTCGACGTGTTCACCGTCGCTAGGTGGGGCCTCCATGGGCATGGGGGTCCTCGCTCTAACTTCCATCCCCATCGTGCTAGGGTCGGGCTGTCACTGTAGCCCTTTCATCTTGCTTACTTCGTTAAAATTACGCACCTCATCTTCGCTTCCCTTGTGGCGCAATTCATGTGCTTTGAATTCTCCATGATCAATGCCGCTGCTGGGCCCGTGACTGTTTTCATTGCTTCCCAAGAACACTCCACTTACCCATCGGCTTTGTAACTTGTTGTTGCTGTTTTCTCGGCATAATCTTAAAGTGCATCGCGCATTCACCAAACTCTGGTAACGCAATGTTGAATATGCGTCCCCTCGCTCTCTCGTGAAATGTGTTGCCGTCAGTGCCGGGGGTGAACTTCGGCTGCCATCCACGGCGTGAACGCGCGGTCCTCCCCCAAACTGGTGCGGTAGTGGTCATCCTTATCACTTTTATGAATCCTCGCTTGTCCTTGACATGTCTTGATGACTGTCCTGCTTCGCCACCTGCTCTAGAATCCCCTGTGGGACTGACCTCCACCCCCATGTTGCGGTGACTGGTCCCTTTCACAGACTCCTTGAAGGCCGTGATGGCGGACTCGCCGTCGCTTCTCATGATGGTCCTGTTGCGGTGACGGGTAAACAAGAATCCTTGAGTACGGGTCCGCTCCTTTCTTCAATGCTACTTGGCTCGGGGTTAACTTGGTCTCCCTGTGCTGCCTGGCCAAGATGGGGTGACCTTGCGCCTCTTCATTGCCGCCCCCTTTTTTGCCTGATTACCACGTGTAGGTGTACAGAAGTCGCTGGCACTTCACTCTTTGACCTCCTCATCTTTTGTTTGTGGTTTCTCCATCTGGCTTTCCCTCTGATGCGATGGGGGCGCCAATTTCGACGGGGTAGATGCGTTTTGTCATGCAACTCCACCGCCTCCGTACTTGGCCTCGAATCGTAATTTCCTCTGTCAGCTCCGCTTCTTCTTCTACAAGCGCATCCTCCACATCCATTAACTCACCGCCCCCATCCACGCTCTACTCGTATTCTTCTTTGCTGAAGATAACCAGATTTTCACTGGGGCTTATGGGCCTCTGGCGGCCTACTAGGACAAATCCATCATGAGGGTTCCCTGCCCGGTAAAGCCTTCGCTTCCGCTCGCCTCTTTCTTCTGGCAAGCCCTTTCCAATCCTCATCCTGTTCCTTTCGGCGCTTCGATGTCGACCTGAAAAGGTACCAATCCGCTCGTGGATGTCGGTCATCATTCCCGTAGCTGTACGCTCCAGGTGACAGCAAAATCTTCCCTGCTTGTCTTCGTCCTATGAAAATCTGCTGCCTGTGTCCACCACTTCACGAGCTGAGCTGGGATTTTTCTTACGTCCGCCACTTGGATCGATAAATTTGCTTCTGTCACTAATCCTGCTCGTTCCTGCCGGTACAGATCCTCGGGCCATAGTTCTTAATGGCTACTCCGTTCGCGGCGCTTTGATGCCAGCTCGCCTTGGAGGCCAACGTGGGCTTGACTTCAACAAGGGTTCTCAAGCTGGGCGGTCCCACTGTATTGTGATCTACAGGATCTACGTTGACTGCAATGGTCTCCACTCCCTTATCCTGCTCGACCTGCGGGACCGCGTAAACCTCTGGAATTTTACAACCAACTTCAACCAAGTAGGCTCCTGTATATTTCAGTAACTAGCTCTTTTCACGGCTTACTGCCATCCTTACACTGATCACCATGTCCACAAGCTGTGCTGCAGACGTGATGCTGATACTTCTTGTGAAGCGGTTGGCCTTCTTCCGCTCGTGGTGCTGCTTGGCCCACTCGTTGGGGTTAACTGGTGCCCCTCCTTCCCCTGTCAGGTTAACCTTGCTGGGGGGTTCGACCGAATAGCGCCCTGGTATCGGCTGTCTTGAGGTCTTGGTTCTTCAACCCCCCTTTGGCCTGTCCCTGCCTCGTTCGCGCACTCAGGACAGTTGTGTGACCTTCGCCCCCGCGCTTGAGTTCCTCTCCCTCACTGCACAGCCCAGATTCGACCAAACCTCTCGATCTTGAGGTGACCTCAGTGACACCGGTGGATCTCCGGGTCCAGAGCGAAGTGGTCCGTCGGCGGCTTCTGCGGTTGCCGCCATCCCTCGGGGCGAACTGGCAACTTACATCAGCACCGCTACCATGCAAATCCCGCAGGAACCATACGATAACGATAGATCTGATAAGAGGCCTCTTTGCAATGCGTCGCAAGACCTCAACATCAGTATTGGAGACAATTGTGCGATACCGAATGTTGTCGCATGCGCCTGCCTGGCCAGTGTTCCCCCCAGTCGTGGTGGTGAACATCTTAGCGTCCCCTCCTCTTCTTCTTCCTCCTCTTTTTTTTCTCCTCCTCATCCCCTGCCTCCTCGTCCTCGTCCACCGCGTCCTCCGCGTCTTCTTCCTTCTCCACTTCCTCCTCGTCCTCCTCCCATGAGGCCGACGTCGTGACCAGGGCCCTGGACCCCGTCTTCCTGCGGCATCTCTTGAAGCCGATCGATCCGCGAGCGTCCCATGTGCCCGAAACTGGGCGAGCACGCCCAGAGAGCGAAAAAGCTGCGACGTTCGGGTCTCAAGCTCCCTCCCTCCCACTGCTGGGGCAGTCCCGCCGCCCTCCCGGTCGATCTCCGCGAAGGTTCCTGGGCCCGAAACTGGGCGAAGACGCCCGGAACGAACAGCCGCGACGCTCGGCAAACAGGGCCTCTTCCCTTCCCCCCGCTGGGGCAGTCCCGCTGCCCTCCTTGTGGTGCAGCGCCGCACTCCGGGCGAGCCCCAGCGCGTCCCTCGCCCTCGCCAGGCGGGGCGCCAGCTCCCGCAGCTGGGTGTCCTCGCTGCTGGCGCGCTCGCTGCTCCGCCGGCCGCCGCCGCCGCCCCCCCCCCGAGGCTCCTGTGCTGTGCTGTGCCCTGAGTGGGGCAGGGAGCAGCTAGAGCGTTTGTGTGGTTGAGCTCACATTCTTTGGAACATCATTGCTGTTGATACCCCCCCTCTGGTAACACATGTGTGGCTCAACTGAAGTGCCACCATCGGGGCTGGCATCCAGTCTTTTTCCCCAATTGGGCTTGCCTAGGGGGTTCTTACTTGGTTCAAGGTGGGTGCCTCGTATTTTTACGTTGCCCGTTGCCCGCAGGTTACTCGGGTTCTCCGCACCCAGTGCCTCTGATTGTTACGTTGCCGATTTCCCAATGGTTCCTCGGGTTCCGCGGGTTCCTCGGGTTCCGCGGGTTCCTCGGGTTCCCCGAGTTCCCTTGGTTTCCCGTGTTGCTCGGGCTCCGCGGGTTCCCCAGGTTCCCCAGGTTCCTCTGGGTCCCCGGGTTTCCAGGGTGCCCGTTCCAGGCAATGCCAAGCAATGAAAAGCAATGCCACGCAATGAGAAGCAATGCGAAACAATGCCACGACATGCCAAGCAATGCCAAGCAATGCAAAGCAATGCCAACCAGTGCCAACCAATGCCACGTAATGCCAAGCAATGCTATGCAATGCCGCGCAATGCCAATCAAGGCGAAGCAATGCGAAGCGATGCCACGCAATGCCACGCAATGTCACGCAATGCTAAGCAATGCGAAGCAGTGACAAGCAATGCCAAGTAATGCAAAACAATGCCAAGCAACGCCAAGCAATGCCAACCATTGCCAAACACTGCCAAGCAATGCCATGCAATACCAAACAATGCCGAGCAATGCCAAGAACTGCCAAGCAATGCCAACCACTTCGCCCATGCAATAGGAAACTTTCCCCTAATTGGGGTCACGCTGGGTTTACTTACAATGGAAAACTGTGCGCGTCAGATAATTTTGTTGCCCCAAGAACTGCAACAACGGCTCCCGCCTGATACTTCCTCACACTTCATTGAAGAATCGCGCTCTCGGTCGGAACTTCCTTGCAATTTAGTAGGAATCGCGGCCTCGCGTGTGATTTCCGAATGCTTCATTCAAACGCCGCGCCCCTGACACTCAGGAATTACGCTCTCGCTCTGGTCTTCCTCACGATTTACTTGGGAATCGTGCTAGAGACTTTCTGGCGATTCATGCAATATTCAAGCTTCAACGACCCGCCCGCTCGACTCGCCCGCCTGGGTCCGCCCGCCCGACCCACCCGGTAGGGACCGCAGTCGCCCCTCGCTATCCTTCGCGCGCCTCTGTTTTTCGTGTCTTTCTCTTCTTGTTTTCAGGGCTGCGCCCAAACTGTACGTGGCAGGTTAAGGAAGATATTCCCCTAAGGGGGGGTTAAATGTTCATTGACACGCGACCATCTGTTAACCTGATTCTGGTGAACTCGTATGTCTGAACAATGGTTATTCTTGCCCCCCTCCGGTAACATACTTGTTTTTCACGTCTCAATAAATCTCACCAGCCCTCTGGGCGTAGGTCTTGTGTCTTCACTCTGCTAAAATCCCTCCTTCCCTTGCTCGGGGGAAGGGTTTACCACTGTTCCCTATTAGTAAACACCCCCTCCCCCAGGCGACCGGGAGTCAACCCGGACCAATGAGCCCCCCTCATCATTTTTTGTTGTTTAAAAATGCAACATGCACTTTGCCTCCAAATCTGGCGCATGCGCGGGCGCCCCGCGACCACTTTGAATTGGTTTTTGACTGGGACGGCGGGGGTGCCTGCATATTGCTTGCTGCGCGCGGGACAACCACCCCTGTCAAATAACTACACAATAATACACTTTGTCTCCAAATCTGGAGCGTGCGCAGTGCCCTTTTTTCTATGAGCCCTCCTCTGTTCGGCGACTCCTCACGATGCCACACTCTGTCCATCGGTGCTGGTGCTCTGCGCTGCCTGGACGAGCCGCTCTTCTCACAGAATGCTCGGCACATCGCTGCAGGGGGATTCAACATCCCGAACTCCCTGGGGTCAGAGCCCCAGGCGCCTGGGGCCCCTGTTGGTTCCCCGTAAGTGGCGCACCCGGCGCAGCTGCAGCACGTGGCACAGTTGGCGCACGTGGAGCACGTGCCGCACCTGGTACGCTTGGGCCTCCAAGGTGCCTGGTGCACCTGGAACGCGTAGCGCGCATGGCATGTGTGGCGCTCCTGAGCGATGTGCAGACACTCGAGTGTCAGGAGTGAGCTAGACGGCCTGCTATCTAGGAGGGTAGCTTGACCCCTCCTCCGACCCCCTCCCCTGGGCCTGGAAAGGGGGGGCGAAGTGTTCAGAGGACGCTTTTTGCTCCAAGATGGCTTCAAGAGGGCCTCCAGAAGTCCAAGTTGGCCTCCAAAGGGTGTCAAGATACCTCAAGATGGCCCAAGATAGCCTCCGACGCACATCCAAGAGGCCTCAAAATGGCCTCAAGATGTTTTCCAGTGCCCGCCGAATCCTCCGAGGCCCCATCCCACAAAGAGGCCCAAATGGCTCCGAACCTAAGAGCAACCAATGTGTTTTACGTTCTCGATTTTCACTTCCGATGGGCTTTTGAGGCCTCAGGATGGCCCCGAACTGGCCCAAGAGCGGCCCAAACAGGGTCATAGAGGGCCCAAGAGCGCTCCCGCAGCGGCCCAAGAGGGCCCAACAATGAAATTTTTGAGCCTCCGAGATGGGGGGGGGCGAATAAGTAAACCACCCTCTTTTTGAGCCATGGGGCCCAGATGCCTGTGACCCCCAACAAGGGCCCCTTGACCCCCAAAACGAGCTCCAGGAGGGCCCCGAATGTGCCCCAAAAGGCCCCACGGGGACCCCAAGAGAGCCCGTAAGATGAACAACGTATCTCCCAAACCCGACTTTTCATCCTCCTTTCCATCGTCAGTTTTTTCCCGCCTCCTGTCCTACTCCTCCTCATCTTCCTCGTGCCGCATTGCTCCTCCTTCTCATCATCTTCTTCCCCTCCTCCTCCTTCTCTCATTTACCTCCTCCTCCCTCCCCTTCTTCTACTAGTACAACCAGGGTGGTCCCAGGAGGTCGAGCATGGCTGAATATAGCCTTCGACAGCCGTCCAAGAGGCCTCAAGACAGACTCAAACTGGCCCAAAGTAACATGACTTGCGTCACATAGCTTGCACCACGTAGGTTGCAATACCTGATCACGCCGTCGTCACATTCGCACGCTGAGCAGAGCGACGAGTTTTTGGGCTCCCGGCCGAGCTGCACATCATGCCTGCGGGCGAAGCAAGAAGGCCAGAGCATCCGCCACCGTGCCCCATGGCACGTTGAGGCGTGCTAGAATGCCACGTACAGTCGGGGCGTTGACCTAAGGAACGCTGACTAAGGAACGGGGCCCTTTTCTCCCATGAGTTGAACTTCGATTTCCCATGGAAAACCTCAGGACAACAGAAGGCAAACTGTAGAACAATCAAGGAACACCGAGCCCCTCCCCAACGAAAAGGGTTCCTTCTTCAGGGCCCCGACTGTATTGTCTGGTAGGGTTTCTGTAATTTTCTGAGGGGGGCCCACCCTCTCGGGAAGCACCCCGCTGCGTGCATCGCGCCCCCTCTTCCCGAGGCCACAAGTCCCAGCAGCACGCAGCATCAGATGCGCGCTCCCGAGGCCCAGATGCTTCCAAGACTGCAGAATATCGCTCCAAGACAGGCCACTTGGGCCTCAAGACGGCACACAATGGTTTCAAGACGGCCCGGCACACAATGGTTTCAAGACGGCCCGCGAGGCCTTCGAGGCGTCCGAAGAGGGGCCCCAGGAGCCTTCCCAACAGGGCCTCGAGAGTCATTTTCCCCAAACATGTGTTTCAATGCTGGGCGGGTTCTCGCCTTTTCGAGCCTCTGACGTCCCAAATTGACCCAAGAGACCACCAGGACTGTCCCAAGACGGCCCAAGATGCCCCCAAGAGGGCCCCACGACGGTCCAAAAGGGCTTCACTGCGGCCCAAGAGGTACTGCCCAAGAGGGCCCCAAGACGGTCCCAAGAAAGGCCCAAGAGGGTGACCACCGACTGACAGTTCGAGCCTTCCTCACCAAAAGGGCTCAGGAGGCCCTCAAGAGGGCCAACAGAGGCCCCCAAGAGCCCCCAAAGAGGCCCCCCAGAGGGCCCCGAGATGCAAACACCATTGAGTGTAGCTTTTTCATTTTTTTGTTGGTCCTCGCTTCTTCGAGCTTCCAAGACGGCCTAAGCGGTCCCCAACAGGACCCCAAGACGGCCCAACAAGGTTCCAAGACTGCCCAAGAGGCGCCCAAGACTGCCCAAGAGGGCCCCAAGAAGGGCCCAGGAGTGAGAACACGAATCAAACATTCGATGCTTCTGCCTCAAGGCCCCCAGCAAGCCCCCTTGCCTTCTCGAATAGTTGCCACGCAGAATGCTGCGCTGGCACGGTGGCGGAAATGCCAGAAGAAACTGGATCATTCCATCTCGTAATCTCCAAATTTTCCGCGATCCATTCTCCCGTTGTGCCTCTCTATCCCCTGGCAGGGTGGGCGAGAACTGGGAGCGACACAGTGCAGTGCTGAACGTGCACAAGATCAAATCTTCCTCCTCCTCCTCCTCCTCCTCCTCCTTTCCCCTCCCTTGATCCCTCCTCTTTTTTTTGTTGTTTGTTTGTTTGTGTGTGTGTGTGTGTGTGTTTTGGAGGAATTGGCGTCCAGCATGCAAGTACGAGTCAGCGTATCAAAGCTGAGCAGAGCACGGCTGCGCAACATAATCGCATCTGCCATTCTGAGATTCTCCTCCCTCTCCTTCTTCGCCTCCTCCCGCCGCCTCGGCAGCTGACCGTGCTATCTAGGTGGTGTTTGTCCACCTCTTCCCCCCTTCCTCCCCACAATGCACCTCCAAGTTTCCGCCAGCCAACTCCGAGATGCATCCCCCCCCCACGGGTCCTGCATCCCTCGTCCAGCCTCGAGGGTCTGCTCCCTGGGATTTTTTTTTGATGCTCCCCTCCGTTCAGCCGCTTCCGTGCGTGGAGGAATGGGGAGGGGCAATGAGAGTGGGTAGGAGAGGGCGAGACTGGTCCACCACCTGCCCTCTGTATTAGATGTGCTTAAACGGGGCCTCTCGATCAAGTAGATTGCGCGGAACATATGCTGCAATCCTGGTGTATTCGTAAAGTGAACAAGAAGATCGAGCACTAGGAGAGGGGACGATGACACATGGAGGAATGGTCCGGGAGGAGTGAGGAGAGGAGGTGGGAAGAGATCTTGATCGTTTCGAGGGTGGGGGTGGGCAAAAGTTAAGATGAGCCATCATCGAGTAAGAAAATCGGGTCGAATCGGCATGTGCGTCCGATCGGATCGCCTCGGCACGGGGCCAGGATCGAACTGGTTCGGCCGCTCCAAGATGCACAACGGCGACCATGCAAACACTGGGCCAAATGGGATCGTCGAGGCGCCTCGAGCAGTGGCGAAGCGTCCTGGTTCTCGAGACCCCCTCGAGTAGGAGGAGGAGGAGGAGGAGGAGGAGGAGGAGGAGGAGGAGGAGGAGGAGGACGAGGAGGAGGAGGACTCGATATCGAATCTAATCGGATCGACCGGGTCGCAGTGGACCCTCAAAGGGGGCAGACGGGCGGGCGCAGGGTCGCACCGGCAGGCGCCAGAGCGAGGTGGCACCCAGCGGGTGAAAAGATATGGAGGAGACCAGCGAGTATGGCGACGAGGAGTCAAATGGAGGTGCCCAGCAGACCCGGGGACGTCCAAGAGGGGGGTTCGCGGATCATGGCCCGGGGCACGTGCTTGGACAAAGGGGGAACCAAGGCGCGCATCGAAAACGACATGGAGGGGTCATGGCATCTGGGGGGATATCATGGCCCCGGCCATGGTGTCCCACCTAGTCGCCACCTCCCTTATGGGCACCGCTGACCAGAGCAGCGCCGTCCACGAACATGCTCAGGAGGTACATCAAAACGAATATCAGCCGCCCTGCCGCGAGGATGCAGCTAACGACGTTAGCGAGGTCCCGAGCACGCCGAGCCCGAAGGAAATTGCGAGGACGAAGCAGGCGGTCCTGATGACACGCTGGACTGCGCGTGCTGGTGCCACCCTCCAATCCAAGATCGTCCCAGACCTCCGAGATCTTCGGAAGTCCTGAGGCAACCCTGCGAGTGCCTTGCATGCGCTGCACCCCTGCTTGGACTTATTTTTGTGATATATTTAAACTTCACTCCTAGCGTTTTTTTTCTAGACTAGTCTGAGCCCAGAGATACGGCAATCACACCAACAATAAGCTCCACGGAAACGCCCAGGGTCCAACCCAGATTCTTGATCTTCTTCAGCGAATATGTAGTCCATGGTCTTTTCTGCTTCGTCTCAAGATTCCTGATGGGTGTAGGTGGGAACGCGTTACAGTCTCCATATCAAGTTGTGCCATACTTGGTGGGGCCCGCTGACTTGTTCGATCTGGCTCACGTGGCCCCCTACTTCCTTGAAGGGGCCCACAAACACACACATAAATACACACAAATAAAAATATTCCCATATTTTCGGGGTTTTTGTATTCCCCCCCACTTCCCATATTTTCCTATATTTTCCTGGGGATCAACGATTAATTGTGTCTGTGTGTTTCTTCCCCTCCTGATTCCTGCTCCCACTGCCAACCACCTCTGCTCAACGGCTGGGGGGCCCGACGGCCCGACGTGCCGCTGCTAATTCGCTGGGGATGCATAGGAGGGAGGTGCGGGCCAGACCAGGGCAGGGCCGAGAGGGCGGCGACGGCACGAGAAAACGCGCGCCCGTCAGGGCGGGAGACGGCTGCGGGGACGGCCGTGCACAGCTGCGGCAGCCGTTTCTCGCACGAGACGCGCCGCTGGCAAGGTTTTAGCTGGATCGCATCGCGGAATCGGGTCGGATCGGACCGCCAGCGACTCGTCCCGAATCGAATCTAAATCGGAACGCCGCGCCTGGCCGATGCTGGTGAACCCAATCGAATCGGATCGGATCGTGGGTGGGGCCCTGGGGGAGACTTTGGGGCTCGGGCCCAGCTGGGGCCGTCCGCTGCCGCGCCGCTCCAGGTGTTCCCCCAGTCCCCGGCACGTCGAGGCGCGGTAAGATGCCAGGTGCTGTCAGGCAGGGGTCCCGCGAGTCTTCTGAGGCCCCCCGCCCTCCACGCACCACGCTCGGCTGCATCCCACTCCCCCACCCTCCCGCCGTGTGCAAGGCTATACAAGGCTTCCGAGATGGACCAGGGAGGCCCCCAGGGCCGCCAAGATGGCCCAACACCGCCAGAAAAGGCGTTCGACGGTCCCCAAGAGAATCGCAAGAGGCGCCACGAGGCGTCCAACACATCAAAGAGAAGGCCAAGGGGCTTCAGAGAAACCAAAACCGAAGCCATTCAAACACCAGAAGAATTCCTTAGTCCTCAGGTGTTTGACATTTTGAATGTCCTGGCTCTCTCACCTCTAGATGGTTCCAAGAGGGCCTTCGAAGAGACAAACGGATGCCAAAAGAGCCCAACGAGGGGCCAAACAAATCCCAAGATGGCCCAGTACAGCCTCAACACGGCCCCAAGAGGAACCCAAGGTAGTGCAAGATTGCCCAAGAGGGCCCGGTGAAGTCCGCAAGACAGCACCAAGAGACCCCACCAGTTGGCCGAGAGGGACCCAAGACGGCCCAAAAGGCACCAGAGGGCCCTGAGACAGCCCCCAGAGGGCCCCGGAAGAGCCCAAAGACAGCCCCGCTACGGTCCATGCCTGCCCCTTGCAAGCCACTCGAGGAACAGAGACGGGCGGCGTCACATGTAACACCCTTCGGGGCGCCGCCACGCAGCATGCTGCACTGGAGCGGTGGCGGAGCTTGCCGCAAGCAGGTGGTGGTCCTGGAGGACTCACAGAACCGCCCAGAGGTTCGCAAGTGCAAGAACAGCTGCTGGGGTACGCTCGATAAGATAATGCGGGATGGCGATTAATAAAAAATGGGAGAGAACGATAAAACATAGTTCCCTACCTAGGCTCTGCCTAGAAGGGTTCTTACTCTCTTAGCTTAAAAGGGCCGGGCAGTGTAAACCGCCCCGGGCGGTTCCCCCAGTCCCCGCCCCGCGGTTCCCCCAGTTGTGCCCCCCTGGGTTGACCCAGCTTAGCTTAGCTTCAGCTTAGCTGTAGCTTAGCTTGAGCTTAGCTTTAGCTTAGTTTTAGCTTAGCTTTAGCTTAGCTTTAGCTTAGCTTCAGCTTAGCTTTAACTTAGCTTTAGCTCAGCTTCAACTTAGCTTCAGCTTAGCTCTAGCTTAGCTTTGCTTAGCTCTAGCTTCGCTTCAGCTTAGCTCTAGCTTAGCTTTAGCTTAGCTCTAGCTTAGCTTCAGCTTAGCTTTAGCTGAGCTTTAGCTTAGCTCTAGCTTAGCGTTAGCTTAGCTCCAGCTTAGCTCTAGCTTAGCTTTAGCTTAGCTCTAGCTTAGCTCTAGCTTAGCTTTAGCTTAGCTTTAGCTTAGCTTTAGCTTAGCTTCAGCTTAGCTTCAGCTTAGCTTTAGCTTAGCTCTAGCTTAGCGTCAGCTTAGCTTCAGCTTAGCTTTAGCTTAGCTCTAGCTTAGCTTCAGCTTAGCTTTAGCTTAGTTTTAGCTTAGCTTTAGCTTAGCTTTAGCTTAGCTTCAGCTTAACTTTAACTTAGCTTTAGCTTAGCTCTAGCTTAGCGTTAGCTTAGTGTTAGCTTAGCTTTAGCTTAGCTTTAGCTTAGCTCTAGCTTAGCTTTAGCTTAGCTTCAGCTTAGCTTTAGCTTAGCTTTTTCCTTAGCTTTAGCTCAGCTTTACTGTTACTACTAATGCTGCTTTCCTAGGGGCTCCAACTCCTAGGTAGGGTCGCACTGGGATAATTTTCTGCTATTTCTGCATCATTTTCTGACTGGAGGAGAACGATTTAAATAATAGTTTTCCAGCCCGCGGCCGGTTTTTTCTAATCGTCATCCTGGGCGCCGCCGCGTGAACACGACCCCCGGTCATTTATTAATCGTTATCCTCCATTGCTTCTATATCCGTAGACAGCGGTCGTTGAACCGTGTGTGATCGCCGCGCGACGCGTCGGAAGTCTCCGGGTGCTCCCCAAACCGCGCAAGGGACTGCCAAGGCGGCCGAGCCGCCTGGCCGCCACCGCCGCCGCCCTGGCGGCCGCCGCCGCCGCAGCCGCCGCCGCCGTCGTGGCGGTCGTCGTGGTGGTCGTGGTTGTGGTAGTGGTCGTCGTCTGTTGACTTGATTGCACGTTTGGGAGCGCCTGCTGAGGTCTCCGGATTACCCTTGAGATCTTCACAGGCCTCTCACCTCGTCCATCGTGATGATCGTCGTCGTCGTCGTCGTCGTCGTCGTCGTCGTCGTCTGCGTCGTCGACGTCGTCGTCGTTGTTGTCATCGTCAGGCCTCTGGAGTTCGTCGACATCGTCGTCGTCGTCGTCGTCGTCGTCGTCGTCGTCGCAGTCGTCTAGGATCGAGGAGGGGGAATGAAGGATCCAGGATCATGGATCGAGGTTTGCAAATCATCTTGCGCCTTCTTGGGTCTCCTGGGGTCGCTTTCGTCGCCGCCGTTGCCCACGGCCTGGGTCTCCCGTCAGCGCTCTGCCAGCGTTCGGGCTCTGGCCGCCACCACCGCCGCCACCGCGGCGTCGTCGTCGTCGTCGTCGTCGGCGTCGTCGACGCTGCACGTTTCTGTACGTCTTGGACGTGGCTGGCCCCTCTGTGGCCTCCCGAGCCAGAGCTCTCGGGAGACACCCTGAGACCTCCGAGGACCGTCGGGGGTCGTCGTCGTCCCCCTCGTCGTCCTGGACATCTCTCCACCTCCTCTTGCTCCTGCGCATGTGATCAAGGACATTCGGATGTTTACGGAAAAACTTCTAGGACACCGATGTGGATGTTCCCAGGGGGGCTTCCGGGAACATCGCTCGGCTCGGATTCTCCTGGAGAAGCTCTGGACGCTTGCTGAGATCCGTCTTATGATTCTCTTTGGGCCAG